ATTGTTGATTTGCCGAGAGTTTCATCTATAGCGGGATCTCGCCTAGGTACTAACTTCCATCTAGGCTGGAGTTTGTGCCTACCTTGTTGGTGTTGTCATTGTTAACTGTGCTTACTGATTGAATCAATGGCAGAAGGGCAATTGTTTTTCCTAGGTTCGGCGCGGCCTTTTTTCTCCCAGGTTCGGCGGGAGGGTCCCGATCCAGAAAAGCCACAGAGGGTTTTCTTTTTTCGAAGAAGCCATTGTTGGGGTGGGTTTGGGCCGGGCCTGGGTTTCTTTAGGGTGGGTTTTTGGCTTGGTTTAGGGTTGGTTAGTGCTGGTTTAGGGTGGGCTGGGGTTGGTTCAGGGTTGGTTTCGGATGGGGTTGATGTTTGGTGGTTTTAGCCCTGGTTTACGGTGGGTTTAGAGTTGGTTTTGGTTGGGCTTCAGGCTGGTTTAGGGTTGGTTTGGTTTGGGGCTGGTTTTACGATGGGTTTGAGGTTTAGGGATGGTTTAGTGGTGGTTTAGGATGGGTTTAGGGTTGGTTTCGAGTGGGGTTTAAGGTTGGTAGGGATTGCTTCGTGCGCTGGTTTGCGGTGGGCTAGGGCTGGTTTCGGGTGGGTTTAGGGCTAGCTTAGGGTTGGTTTAAGGCTGCTGAAGGTTTGGGCTGGTTTAGAGTTGGTTTGGGGATGGTTTATTGGTGGTTTGGGGTGGGTTTAGGGTTGCTATACTGCAATAGGATTGGCTACTTTCTTTACGGTTGGCATAGGTGTGGGTTTAGGGTGGGTTTAGTTGTGGTTTTGGCTGAGGGGTTGGAGTTGGTTTAGGGTCGTTGGGGCTGGTTGAGGGGGGTAGGTTTAGCCCGGTTTAGGGTGGGGCTTGGGTACCTTTAGCCTGGTTTAGGATGCTTTAGTGCTGGTCTAAGCTTAGGGCTGATCTTGAGGTGGCTTCAAGCTGGTTCAGGTGGGTGTAAACTTGGTTTAGGCCGGGTTTTGGATTCGTTTCTTCAGTGCGGATTTAGCGTGGGTTTAGGGTGAGTTTTTATTTGCGGTTTACGCTGGGTGAAGTGGGAGTTTAGAGTTGGATGAGGGTGGTTTAGGGTGGGTTTGGGGGGTTGTAGCAGGCTTTGGCTGCCTCAGCACGCTTAAGCGCTGGTTTGATGAGGGGGGTTAAGGGTTCGTCGGATTAGGGTGCTGGTTTTGGGTGGGTTGCAAACACTACCCTAAAAGAGATGCTAGTTGACGATGTGGGAAGGCAAACCAAACGCCACAAAAGCACGCAAAAGGCCGCGAAAGCTAAAGAAGCACCCGCCCACGACGACCGACCGACCGACCGACCGACCCACCGACCCACTGACCGACCGACCGACCGACCGGGGACCCTGCCACGACCCAGCCCGCCAAACCTAGGAGAAAAACAACTCGGGGCCCCACCTTGAATCAATGTCCCAACACAAAGATGCGTAGAAAAGCGTAGCGCTCACAGCGCTTTCAGAAAGAAATCCACAGCTTCTATACCGTCCTGATGCACACCGGCGCGCCAAACACAGAATGCCACAAACGCGGCCCAAACACCGTATTTTGACACGTTCCTTGGCATAGATTGTGACACAACTTCTGAAACACATTCCGACACATGGAGGCTGGTCAAAACTCCTGTTTCCGGAAACGCCGTTTTTGCGAGAGAGTCTTTTGCGACTCCATCGCCACGCTCTTTTGTTTCCAGCATGCGCTCTGGAGCAAGTGTTGCTGTTGCAGTCGCGTTTGCAAGCCCAGCAACCACGCCGTTCACCTGCACTGGCAAGTTGCAGCAACGCGAAATGAAAGCAGGCCCTATCAATCGCCCTTTCCAATTGAGCTTGCCGTGACGCGCGGCAACAAACTCCATAGGCTTGCATCGGTTCTTCGTGAATCTTTCACGAAACTTGCTCCGAAATAGCCCAGCCAACGTTTTGCTTTGCACCATTCTCAGCATAGGCTGGGAATCAAGGACGCAAGTCGACGTGCCACGCATTTCCATGTCTACAAGGGAGCGGGGTATGTGCAAGCATGTCCCCACAAACGCCCGCAGTTCTATGGTCCTCCACTGTATACGTCCTTATAAGGACCTTCTGATCAACTCCCACATGTTCTGACATTTTCTGACTTCTATTCTAACACTACACGGCTCTGCGGCTTGAAATTGGTGATGCTGACAGCCTTCCCTTTCTCCTCATATTGATCTCCTCGTGCTTTGGTCAGTCACTCTCCAGCGCCGGCACAGAGTGCGAACGCACGTTATATTCTGAGAAATAAGCTGTCATGTCTTTATCAGATTGCATATCTGACATGCGGCTTGTGGACCTTATGCAAGACCATGCGACAAAGGCCTGAAGCTGTCAAGTTCTCGTGAATCGTCACCGTTCAGCCCCTAAACCTGGTTATCTTTGCCTGAACTGAAACCCTTCAACTGAACTCCAAACCAGCGCTTTCCGTTTCTGTTGGTTTGTTCAAACCCACAACGGGGCCTTGCTTATCATGTGGTGTGTTCAATCCCAAAGGGGGCCGCCCCCCCGCTCAAAGCCAACAGGGGAAAATTCGAAAGAAAAAAAAGAGTTCACTTCAGTCAATGCAAAGCTCTTGGCATCAACAAATCAACCCGCAAACCGCAGGCGGGGACCGTCGGCAAACGGCCAAACCCGCCTCATCGATTCCAGTGTGAAATCGATTCCCTTTAAAACCAATGGGAACATCTTCGTTTCAGCCAATTTTCAGGCTTCTGGTCAAGCCTTTCCCCACAAGGGGACGAGGCCGGGCCCTTAATGCGCCTCAATGCAAAGCTCTTGGCATCAACAAAACCCAGCCGCAAACCGGCGAAAACCGCGCAAAACGGCCCCTTCCGCCTCATCCAGGAAGAGGAAGGAGGCCTTCTTCAGCAAGGCCCGGGCGATGGCAATGCGCTGCTTCTGGCCACCGGAGAGCTGGCCCCCTCCAGCTCCCACCTGAGGCCGAGAGAGGTGGCTAGAGCCGGGATTTTTCTGAACACCTTGAAGCATCCGAAATACCATGGTTGAAACCAGAAGGTTGGTATTTACAGGGGGAATCCGTAAATCATCCAAAATGGAAACCCATGGTATTCAAATCATTCAAAGTACCCATGGTATTTTGGAAGCTGAACCATCCATAACGTTTGGTTAAGTTTCTGAAGTTGAAACCATCACGTTTGGTATTTACAGGGGGAATCACTGTAGGGCTTCTTAGGTGCGAAATGGATTTCGCCCATCCTCAGTAGGTTCCCCGAGTGAGACTTAAACCCAAAGGTGTCCTTTGCAAAAGTACAAACGTCTTTCCTCCTTCCCTCTTTACTGTTTCCTCCTTTAATTAGGATTGGTTGTGTGTTGGTTTGCTGTTGGGCAACTGGAACGTGGGCATGACACCAACCACGAATGTTGGCGCCTTTCAACTGGCGAGCAACGTATACTGCCCGGGTGTGGACCTAGAAGCCAATGAAGCAGCGCAAGCCTGCATGACAAACAGAACCACGAATTGGTTTGGCTTTAGCCCCTTGCTTCTCGAGTTTTAAGGATGAATACATGTACTTGACGCGCAAGTTTAAGGGATCAAGGAGCGCGTTCGAGGTTTTCACGTGGTTGGGTAAGAGATTGAAGAGTCTTGGTCTTTTCGGACTCTTCTGAGCCGTCAGCCCAACTGTTTACTAGGTGCAGCGAAAACGGCACTGCGGTATGATTGCATGTCAGCAAATGCCAGTAAATATCGATCGTGGCTCATGTCATACACCAGGCTCCGACTCTGTCAAGCCGCGAAGGTGTTGTACTTCTCCGGGAGGTTGTCCACAAAGCCCAGCTGAGCATCGGCGCAGGCCTGGACAAAGTCCTGGCCGATGAGATGATGGACCCCCAAAAGCCAATATGTTTTTCTGCCTACCCATAACAAAAGGGGTACAAAGGCAAACAAAAAGGGGCCACTTGGGGGGTCCAGGCAAACATGAACAGAACAAAACAAGCACTTGCCAAGAAAAGTGAAGTGAACCAAGCCTCTAGAAAACGGTGTCGGATGCGTGCTTTTCGTGGAGTTCACCAAATGTCCGCCTGTTGGTCCTTTCTTTTTGATAGCAAGCATTTAGTACCCAGGGGTGGATCCACAAAAGCCACATCCAAACCGCAGAAAACGTCTGGCTCCGGCGCCTTGGCTTACCTTCTCTACTCGGACCTCGGATTCACACTGCCAGCTTTTGCGTCAATGCCAAAAAGGTCCCAAGGTTCGAGGCCCTATTTCGGGTCCAAGGGGCTCGGAGGAGGGGTGAAGGGGTGGAGCCCCCGGGTGGGGGAGGGGAGTGGAGCATGTTGCCGTCGTTCTGAAAGGCTTGCACGCACATCAACACGAGTGCACACAAGTTGATGCATGGCCAATGTGTGTTGCAAATGCTGGAAAAAACATCTGGAGTCTTGGAGCGCCACCATACCATGTCCATCCCACCAATCTGAATTTGCCAGAAGAGTCTCTGTGACGAGGGGAGCACGCAAACGACCCGCTTGCTTCATAGCGGGGACATGCGGGGACTCAATGTATGGACAAATGGCATCATTGCAAGACGATATACCAACTCAGCTGCACGTCTAACGTGTTTTGCTACCTGGATCGCTTCTTTCAAGTATCAGCTTCGAGAAGGACTTCTGCCGTGCGTTGGCTGCAGTTTGTTGATTCAATATTTTCGAGCAATTGAACAGAACTATGCAACAACAAAAAACTTGGTTTTTGACAATTTTGGCACAAACACAATGCTGTCCTAATTCTCCAGTTCACTGCCAGGCAGGAGCCAGAGATGACAAATGCAGAAAAGCCAGGGCAAACACGTGTGACACAGCTTGCGCCTCCAGGTTTTTTAACAGCCTGTGACCTTTTGCGGGGTCTTGAGAAACACCCAAAAGTTGGATTTGGACCAATTTGCATGTTGGGTTGCCTCGAGAAGAGATCCCCTCGCAAAGGCACAGTTTGACGCATTCGGAACTGAGAGAGTTGCACCCTGGGGCCGTCTGATCTTACGTTCTGCAACTGGAAGAAATCGCATGTGCCTCTGGGACACGGCAAGTGGAACTTTAAAAGCTATGCCCTGCTCACAACTGCAACTCGACGCATCACAGCCCAGCAGCAAACAGCAAGAAAAGCACAAAAAGTACCAGTTTTTTGTTACCAGCCTGAATCCTCCAAAATGCCTGGATTGCCTTTGGCTTCCTGTTCAAGCAACCTTTCTCGTCTTCCAAAAGCAGGACGTACGGCACCCTCCCCTTTCCGACACCATCATCACCGAAACCTCACCGGGGGCGTCCTCCTTGGAGGCCTCAGGGCAGCCCTGCATGATGTTGTGCTTGATGGAGCTCGCGAAGAGCACCGGCTCCTGCACCGCACAGAAAAACAGGCTGTGGGTCAAACATAGGGTCACCGAGCCCAAAATGGCTTGCCCTGGTAAATGGAAACATGGGCTAAAACCTGCGGTCCATTTCCTGGTGGTTTCATTTTGACCCATACCCAATTGGCCAGTTGAAGTCTGGTTCCCCGAAGAGCCTCCCAGCCTTTTCACGAAAAGAAACACATGAACCTGACAGGGTTCTGGTACCCACCAACTAACACGTGGAACCCTTCGGTCGACCTGACAGAGGGGGGGGGGGAAGACTCAAAAGACCATGTTCAACTTTAAAGGACCGAGTCCCGAGCGTCAGGTTCCGGTGGGAGGGTTCACAATTTGGTTGGAGAAAATCCTAAATGCTCCAAGTGGAGAGCACCCTTGAATTCTTCTGGTTATAACCCTTTGGAGAAAATCCAAAAAGATCTGGAGGTCCAGCTTGGGCCACTGAAAAAAGAAACACACTCACTTGGCTGTGCAGAGGAACCACTTTTTGGATGGCACCACCGTTTTGTACTCCCAATTTTCTGAGAATGCCCTGATGCCATTCGAACTCCCGGAGATCGTCTCGTGTCTTTTGGACAAATCGGCAGGATCCGCTGGCAAACGAAAAGGAACCAAACTGAAAGCAGGATCCATAAGTGTGGCTTTTTTCAGGCACCCCCCCCAAAACAGAAAAAAGGTTTCCCTTTTGGTGTTCCTTTAAACCCCCCAGAAATGAGGCCACTCCAAAGAACCAAAACACACCCCCAACTGACCTACAAAGGACACCTATAATCGGGTCGAGATTTAATTTGTGTTGTTTTTGTTTTACGTTTATTTTTTTGTCAAAAACCAACTGAGAAAGCCGCCAAAAGCCACGAAGCCAAAAAGCCGCCTGCTGCAGCGGAACTGGCAATGCAAAGGATGCGAAAAGCCTGCAAAGACAAACAGAGAGGAACTGTGAATGCAAAGGATGCGAAATGAAAAGCCACAAAAGCCACAAAAACCCGCGTAAAAGCCACAAAAGCCGAAAAGCCGAAAAGCCACCCACCCCAAAAAAAAAAACGGGAAAAAAACAAACAAACAAAAAAACAACTAAAAATCATGGCCTTCCCCAAACATCATCCTTCCATGACTTGCTCAACATGCCATGACAAAAGCCTTTGGGTTGCTCTTCCCTGCCAAAAAAAAGAGAGCCTTTCAAGCGATCGATGTCAAAACCGGACACCCCTTCGGTTGAAACTCGGATTTTGAGACCCGGCCAGAACCGCCACTGGGCAACTGAAACAGGCTACATCAACCTTTTTACAGCGCTCCGAATGCTACAGCCTGTCAATGCAACTCCTTCAAGGCATTCGCGCAAAAGCCAGCGATGGAAAGAGCGACGCAGGCACATCATAAAGCTCGCCATCGCAAGGGCACCATCCCCAAGAAATGGCTCGCTGCTACTAAGGCCGCCCATCTGCGGTCCCTCTATTTTGCCCCTAGACTTAGCCCCACCAGCAGGCTCATTTCCGGGAAGGCCTCAGTGAGTTCTTGAACTGGCGCACAGGCAAAAAGGACAAATAGTTGTTTTTTTCAAATTGGCTAACTTAGGGGCAAGGCGAGGGGCAATTTAACAAAGCCTAGGCCTTGCACATGTCTTGCGTGGCTGAAAGAAGCATTGCGGTTTGGAGGTGGTGGCTAAAAAATGTGTTCCCATTAACCCTCTACAAACCAGGGGTTCTCCCCAAACCAATCTAAACCAATGAAGCGGTTGCCTGAATGATTCGTTCAAAGGGAAACGTCGCTTGTGTCCCAAGGCGACCTTTCGGCATCGAAGAAAAAACACCACGCGCCTGGCCCACGTAGCCGATGCAGCGCCGCAGGGCGGTGGTCTTGAAGGTCTTCATGTCCTCGCATCGATCCGAAACTCCGGAGAAAGACAAGGACTTGCCACAAGAACTGCATGAATCTATGAGTGAAACCGCATGAATCAATGAGTGGGAACTCCACTTGGTTCTGTTTTTTTCCGGGTTGGAACTCCACGTGGAATCTGTGGGCTGGAACTCCACTTATGGATCCTTCGATTCGACATAAGCAGAGCAACACATCAAAAAGACACATCACATGAATGACAATTCGTTGCAGTACGCTGCCAAACAAATTAATCGCAGGGTTGCTTTGGTTCTCAACCCCAAACGCATGAAACCCTTTCATGTGAGCTACTCTCAAGTTAGTTCTGGATGGGCGGCTTGCGCGGCATACTTTGGCCAGGTATCCCTAGCCGCTTAGAATATCATCCACAAGCCAAGCTTTCAGCCCCCCAGGCAAACAAAACCCTGCAGAAAGCTATCAAAGATGTCTTGTTAGGGCAGCTGCTGCTTTCAATAGTCGTCTTGTCGATGGGCTGACCGCACGATCCACAAAACTACCCCGCAGATAGATAGGAGCGCACTTTTCGGAGGGTCAACAGCTTAGTGGATGGCTGACGGCAAAAAGCAAGCGGCAAACTGAGTGTGGCTCATGACTGGGTAGGGATTTTGATTTGAATTGGGGACTCTTGACGGACATCATTTACCGGACATGCTAAACTCCTTGTCGGGGATGATTGGTTCTACCTCAGCTGTTGCCCGGAAAATATATCATGAACCTTAACACATAAAATGATGTCGACACGTCAACGTCCCAGGTCTAGAGAAGGGTATGCTTGACTTCTTAAACATAGCAAGAAGAATGGAAGAAATCCTGGTGATTGACCATAATCCGTGGCCATTCTACTTGCAATACTCCCCTGCAAGCTGTGTAAAGGAAGGGGGCCCTTTCCCCCTAAACACTCCACTCAGCGATACCTTTCTCAGCTAAGGCAAAACCAACCTGTCCGTTTTCAGCATCCATTTCTCAAGGACAGCTACTTTCCGGCAAATGAGACTTCAGCACTGGGTGGTGCTGTTTCCTCTTGCTTTTCTGAGGCCACGATCCAGGAAAAACGTCAGGCATGGACATCTCAAATCCACGGGGTGTCTTTTGTCATCGAGCATGAGGAAATCCGCATCATCCTCATCACATCGTGACATGCATGACCATGCACTCCACGGATGAACCCACATGCTGCACAGCATTTATTACTCATGACATTGAACGGCGTCGACAATTCAGCAGGCCAACCACCTGTCGCGCTGACAAATATATCCAAGCAAAGCAAGGCGCGTGTCCATTGTGATCGAATTTCCAAGCGCCTTGTTTGGAGTTGGTGCCATTTGGAAGACAAACGCCATAACCATGAAGCCCCATATGTTATTTGGGCTTGGCTCAAGACTCAAGACCTAGCGCTACGCAGGTTTAGTCCGTGTTTCCACTTACCAAGGTGCCATTTTTGAGCCGCAGCCATTTCTAAACAGAAGTCTAAGCCCGAGACCCCAGGGCACTAGGCGCGAGCCCGACACAAATGCCACTCTATACCCTCCACAGAAAAAGGTTACTAAGCTTCCACCGACTAACATGGTTCGGTGCACAGACCCCTACGGAAATACTGCTTTCCTCTTGGAAAGGGGCCAAATGTGCACTTCCATATATTATAGTTACTGGTTGGTGGGAGGGTGCCAGGAAAGGAAATCTACGGGGCCCGTCCGCACCTTGGTTCTGCCATATGCCGGGTTTGACCAGTCGAAACGGAAGGGACCGGTTCGCTGAGCTCTGCAACGGTTAACCTGGGAGTCAGCCTGGGTTCCCATTACTGTCAAATTTACACCCAACACGACCAGCCATCAAAGCCCAGCCAGCCATCTGCAGGTTTAGCCAGCTACACCTTGAGAAGGCCAAGCGATGCTGATCAAACAAAACACATGACAGTGCTAACTGGCCATACAAGGTGACTTGTGATCTACTCTGCTGAAACTGCAGGTTATCCATGCTGTGTTTCACAGGTCCCAGGTCAGCTTGCGCGGTGAACAGGTCTCAATATACCACCCCAAGCCACCTCTCTCGCCAGAAAGGGCGCTGTTCATTCCTGAGATGGGGGCAAAACCTCCTCCAAACGAGACACTGACCATGATAGGGACCAGGGATCCTTCGAAACAAACACCCAACATCATTATAATGTTTTTTGTCCTAAAATGTCAAACGCAAAGACAACGCAGAACGCCAGATGCGGGAGTCAACCAGCACGACACGGAGAGTTTCACAACCTCATCAACTGCCCATTGGCAACATTCAACCTAATTCCTATATCTTGCTCGAAGTACGGCTATTTTAGTATAACGTGCCCGTTAAACAGAATTCCATCCCCCTTGCAGCCCGCATTACCCATCCTGGCCGTTGACCAGCACAGTGCCAGTGTTGGGATCGTAGAAACGCTCCAGCAACGCCATGACGGTAGACTTGCCGCTGCCGCTCTCGCCAACCACGGCTACTTTCTGACCGCGAGTGATTGACATTGACAGGCCGTTCAAGATCTTGACTTCCGGCCGGGCCGGGTAGTAGAAGACCACGTCCTGCAATAGCGGCCATCTTCCCTTATTTCCTTATTCCCTTGATTTGATTTGGGCGTGTCTTCTGTTTGGAGACCTCCCAGAATGGTGGTGTTCCTTTGGTTTCCTGTTAAAAGTCGCCCATAAAAACCGTCCCTCCAAACAGACAGACCGATGCTAGGCATGCTGTT